AAAATTGGAAACAGTCATGTCCAGCACAGAACTTACCTGTGAGATGGGTTGCTGCCTCCAAACAGATCATTATATTGATGGCACCGCTGATCTGGTGAGACCTAACACCTGGGGTCCACGGACATAACACGCACCATAAAGTCGGCTCTTTAATGCTTGTTAAAAACAATAACAACATTTAGAACATAAATAATGATGTTGCTGCTTCTGTGATTTTATATTGAGCAATTTCCCTGTGGCAAGGCTTTTTGGGGGAGCATCATGGTGTGACAGCAGTGAAAACCCCCAAACCCGCAGGTTCGGCTAAATGAATGTACACACAGCGTACAATTGTACATTCCAAGTTTCAAATAAATGTTATATTATTAGTTTTATTTCAATGAAAAGGATATTGAAGGTGTTAACTCTAACATTTGGATTATAAAGAGAGCCTAGCAGTTAATAGTTTGTTTTATATCTATGTGGGATAATTTTAAAAAATTCTGTGAATATTTGAGCCCAAATTAGAATAATGATATGGAGAGAATTTCTATAACAAGTCTCTTAATATAAACAGAGAAGTAAAAACCTAAATAAAGATAAAAGGATGGCTTATATATACTAATGGTCAAATTAACCTCACAGGTCCAAAACTGGAGCAGCTCAGCTGAGATTTGAAGAAAATGTCTTTCTCTCGCCATCCCACCAAATCTCCAGGATACTCTACCCACCACCCCCTCAAACATCCAAACTCTTCTGTCCAGCATCCCACCAGACATCCAATCTCTTTTATACAGCATCCCACCCAACATCCAGAATCCTCTACCCAGTGTCCCACCCAACCTTCAGAATACTCTAACAAGCATCCCACCCAGCATCCAAACCCTTCTACCCAACATCCCACCCATCTTCCAAATACTTCTACTCAGCGCTCAATCAAACATCCAAGCACTTCTACCCAACATCCCACTCAACCTCCAAAGACTTCTACCCAACACCCTACCAAACATCCAAACCATTTTACCCAGCACCCCACCCAACCTCCAATCTCTTTTGTCCAGCATCCCACTCTACCGCCAGAATCTTCTACCCAGTGTCCCAGCCAACCCACAGAGTCTTCTACCTGGCGTTCCACACAACACACAGAATCTTCTACCCAGCGTCCCACCAAACATCCAAAACCTTTTATCCAGCTTTCTACCTAACCCACAGAATCTTCTACCCGGCGTTCCACCCAACCCACAAAATGTTCTACCCAGCGTCCCATCAAACATCCAAAACCTTCTATCCAGCATTCCACCCAAGCTTCAGAATCTTGTATCCTGTGTCCCACCAAACCCACAGAATATTCTACCCAGCGTCCCACCCAACCCACAGAATCTTCTACCCAGCGTCCCACCAAACCTCCGAAGCCTTCTACACAATGGACCAACAACAGGAACTCAGAACAACAATTAATTATTTCACGGGTAAGTCTGCAGTGATAACAAATTGTCTTTTATAGAGTACACTGAAATTAGAGAAGATTTACTTTATTCCAAGATTCAACTGTATTCGAATATTCATCCTCATTAGTTTTTATATTATTTTACTCCTAAAGTAACATTTTCTACTCATTATGCATTAATAGACCAGTGTAGCTGATGTTAAATTAAGTCATCTTTCTATGTTGCAAACAGTATTTTCAAGTTCCAGATACATCCTTAATATGTTTAATACACGTCCATGACTTTGGAAGTCCTTCTCATTTAGCATTAGCAGTAAAAGATCTGTACAGACCAGCTTGTTACGGTGTTGGTGAGCGAATGCAGATTGGTGGCTTGGTACGTGACTGAAAGAGTGACTGTATGTGGCTTGGTGGGTGTCTTGGTGGTGGATTAGGTATATGTGACTGAAATAGTGACTGTATGTGGCTTGGTGGGTGTCTTGGTGGTGGATTAGGTATATGTGACTGAACGAGTGACTGTATGTGGCTTGGAGGGTGTCTAGGTTGTGGGTTATTTATATGTGACTAAAAGAGTGACTGTATGTGGCCTGGTGGGTGCCTAGGTGGTGGGTTAGGTATATGTGACTGAAAGAGTGACTGTATGTGGCTTAGAGGGTGTCTAGGTGGTGGGTTATGTATATGTGACTGAAAGAGTGACTGTATGTGACCTGGTGGGTGTTTATGTGGTGGACTGTGTTTTGGATACGTGACTAAGCCTGTTACAAGGTGTGTGTTTAAGTGGATGATTCATGGGTGGCTTTATGTTACTGGATGAGTGTATATAACTATGAGGGTGACTAGGTGGTGGGTTAGGTATATGTGACTGAATGGGTGACTGAATGTGCCATTTAGTGTGTAAATGGATCTAAGAAGTAAAAGATAAAGTATGTGAGTAGTGAATCTGCCCTCACAGCCTTCATCTTCAAAAACTAATTGACCCTCCTACTCTTTTACATCTACTCTTAAACATCAACTTTACCCCCACACACTCTGACACCTACACCCCAACACATCCTGACACATATACCCTCACACACTCTGACACCTTTATCCCCACACACTCTGACACCTACACCCCCATTCACTCTGACACCTACACCCCAACACACTCTGACACCTATACCCCTACACACTCGGATGCCTAAGCCCACACACTGAGACACCTACATTCAAACACTCTGACACCTATACCTCCACACACTCTGACACCTATACCCCCACCCCTCCCAAACACATCCTGACACCTATACCCCCACACACTCTGACACCTATACCTCCATACACTCTGACACCTACACCCCCCCACACACACTCTGACACCTATACCCCCACACATTCTGACACCTTCACACCCACACACCCAAACCCGTACACATTCTGGTACTTACACCCACACACCTTGAAATCTACACCACCACAATTCTAACACCTATACCCCCACACATTCTGACAACTACACACCCACACACCTACACCCGTACACATTCTGGTACTTACACCCACACACATCCTGGCACCTACACCCCCACACTCTGACATCTAAACCCACACACTCTGACCAATATACACACACACGGACACCTGCACACACTGACACCAACACCCCCACACTCTAACACTCGGATTCCTACACCCACACACTGAGACAACTACATTCAAACACTCTGACACTTACACCCCACACACTCTGACACCTATACCCTCACACACTCTGACACATATACCCACACACACATTCTGACACCTACACCCACACACATTCTGACACCTTCTCGCACGGAAAAATAAACTCAAACAGCATGCTCACCCTTATAGTGCAGTGCAAAAACGCAATGGGTATTTACCCTTTTATTTAAATTATTATAGATAGCATATGGATTCCTCGAAATAAAACAACACAAATATGTATCTACAAAAATAAAACAACAAGGACCAAAAATAGAGTATAATAATTTACTTGGTGATAGAAAATTCAATGTTAAATTCACAAGTGTGAAATAAAATGCCGGCTCATCTGATATGACTGTAATATCTCTGATAGACAAGGTCTTCTGTGTTCTCAGGAACGCATGTAAAAGAAATAACCATAGTGCAACACTCTATAAAGGTAAATAAACTGCTTTATTGTGTCACACTTACAAGTTAAAACGTAGTTAAAAGTCCATCATCAAATCTCTTGAAAAGCTGGGTCAATGGGTAAAATGCAGGTGCAAAATAAGCTTGATCTATCTTCACTCTGGATGCAATTTGTGATGATGGCATAAAAAATAATAAACATTTAAAATAAATCAATTTCTTTGCCTTTATACAATTTTCCACTATTTCTTTTACTTGCATTCCTGGGAACACAGAAGACATTGTCTGCTGTCACTAGTCTAATACTATCCTTACCTTTTTGTGTCATTTTACCCCACTCCCTCCAGCATGTAAGCTCATTGAGCAGGGCCTTCAACCCCTCTGTTCCTGTGTATCCAACTTGTCTGGTTACAACTACGTCTGTTCGTCCACCCATTGTAAAGCGCTGTGGAATTTGATGGCGCTATATAAATATCATAATAATAATAATAATCAGAGATTTTACCACCATATACGATGAGCCTGCATCTTATTTCACGTTTATTAACATTAAATTATCTACACCCCCACACTCTGACATCTACACCTCCACACTCTGACACATATACCGGCACACATCATGATAGCTATACCCACAAACCCTGACACCTACACCCACACACTCTAACATCTACATCCCCAGACTCTGACTCATATACCGACACACATCTTGAAAGATATACCCCCACACCCTGACACCTACACCCACACACACACACACACTAACACCCACACACACACACACTGACACCTACAACCATGCACTCTGACACCTACACCCTGACACCATGAAATCTGCACCCACACACATTCTGACACCTACACCTATACACCCTTACACCTAAACCCACACACTAACACCTACACCCAAACATCCTGGTAACGACACATCTATATTCTGACACCTACACCAACACACCTTGAAATCTACACCACCACAACTCTAACACCTACACCCCACACTCTAATGCCTACACCCACATTCTGACACCTACACTCACACACTCTGACACCTACACCCTGACACCATGAAATCTGTACCTACACACATTCTGATACCTACATCCATACACCCTGGCAACTACACCTCCACACTCTGACTCCTATACCAACACACCTTAAAATCTACACCACCACAACTCTAACACCTACACCCCACACTCTAATGCCTACACCCACATTCTGACACCTACACTCACACACTCTGACACCTACACCCTGACACCATGAAATCTGTACCTACACACATTCTGATACCTACATCCATACACCCTGGCAACTACACCTCCACACTCTGACTCCTATACCAACACACCTTAAAATCTACACCACCACAACTCTAACACCTACACCCCACACTCTAATGCATACACCCACATTCTGACACCTACACTCACACACTCTGACACCTACACCCTGACACCATGAAATCTGTACCTACACACATTCTGATACCTACACCCATACACCCTGGCAACTACACCTCCACACTCTGACTCCTATACCAACACACCTTGAAATCTACACCACCACAACTCTAACACCTATACCCTCACACATTCTGACGACTACACCTCCACACACCCACACACCTACACCTGTACACATTCTGGTACTTGCACCCACACACATCCTGACATCTACACCCCCACACTCTGACATCTACACCCACACACTCTGACCAATATACACACATGGACACCTATACCTGCACACACTGACACCAACACCCCCACACTCTAACAACTACACCCATACACATTCTGACACCTTCACCCCCACATACCCAGACACCTACACCCATACACATTCTGGCACTTATGCCCACGCACATTCTGACACCTACACCCCCACACTCTGACACCAACACCCCACAGATTCTGAAACCTATACCAACACACATTCTGACTCCTGCACCAACACACTCTGACATCTACACCTACACACAGCCTGGAATCGACAGCCACACACTCTGACACAATGGTATTCGTGAATGAAACAGTCACAAGCAAGACAGATATTCCACTTCACAGTAAAACAAACCTGCTAAACTTAAATACCATTTCAATTGCAAGAAAGAAAATAAAAACATGCAATAAACCTGTACTCCTTCTGTGTTTTTTATAATGAGGTCTTAATTCGCTATTAGTTTGTTCTTAAGCATTGAGTTCATATTCTTTTGTTTCATCAGGGAAGGTGTGCCCTCTCGGGGACAGTAGGTCCTTTGAACAGCAGCCTGATTTTGCATAGAAATTTATCTTTGGCTTTGAGATCTCTAGGTGCAAGGAATTGCATGAAAAGCCTGGGATCTGTAGAGAGGGTTTTTTGAAACTTAGCTGAAAGAAGAGATTACATATTTGACCATAAAAGGACCACCTGTGAAGATGGGGATTTTGCTACGTCAAATGAAAACTTGACATATCTCTTCCACGGCATCGGCAGGGTACCAAGATCAGATCAGTACTGTAAATTAGAATAAACACACCAGGTTCAGATTATTTGGAGACAGGATTATGAACAGGATAGAATAAAACAGGACAATCCCGTCAACCTCAAAATATATAAATTCGGCTATACAACTTCATTACGTTGGAGATTAAAAAAAAAAAAAAACACCAAGAAGGCTCTTTTATTCATGTGTGGTGGTCCTGTAACAGGATCAGCATGAAATGGCTGAAGACATTTAAACTTGTTAGAAAATGATCAAATTGCAACTGTGAACCAAGGCCAGAGAGGGCACTTCGATCTTGATATGTTTTCAACTAATCTAAAAGTTCTATTTCTTCAATTTTACTTGCGGTAAAAATAGTTATTGCTAGAAACAGGCAGAATACTGATCTAATTTCATGGAAAGAGGAAAAATTATAATTTTTATTGCTAACCATAAATTAAATATGTCCTTTGCTATTTAGTAGCCGTGGATGGCAGGGACCTCTGTAATTAATTAATCATAATAAAATCTAAAGTGTCAGAGAGCTTAGTCGGTGGAGGACTGGGTGGGACACCAGGACAAATAAGTGGACTGGAACATTAATGGATGTATTGTAAATGCATAGAATTTTAAAATGTAAAGATATTATTTTAGTTGTGTATATCATGTATGTGAATTAATATAAATACACAGTTTGAAAAAATACTTTAAAAAAAGGACAATCCAATTTAGATAAAGCTTGAGGTCCATGGCACTGGCCTCCAAAGTCATTGGATTTGCTTTTATATATAAAACTAAAGGATACATCTTTTTAGTGGCTGTAATTGCATTTTGTGTTCATCCTTTACATCTGCAGTCACCTTCATATACGTCTAATAACAGAAATGAAGACATGGAATATTTGCAGACACGCAGAGACATCCTAAACAGACAACGTAGGAGTGTTATAAGGAAGGCTAATTGTGAATCGGAGAAACATGAAGGTTAGTAACATTATAACAGACTATCGTGCTAACATTGACAAAGTACTACATTGATTGGAATTTATTACAACAATTATTAACTGTCACACCGTGGACACATTGGGGATAACAAGTTTATTAGTGTTCAGTGTTCTATGCAGCAGTAATGACACTAATAGATAAATAAATATGGTCAAATATTCTGCTCGTGTGTATTTCCAAAGACCCTGATGACAATTAGCGCACACAGATCCCATAAATCCCACCAGATTATTAAAGTAATGTCAGTATATGGGGATAATGTCTACATACAGTAAGTACAGTAACATTGAGACAGCAGGATTAAAAATTGAGATGGCTAAGACACAGGAAGAGACAAGTCAAGACATTTTCAGAAATGAGGAGTAAAATCAATGAGCGCAGGAGGCCGTGAGCTATCAATGTCTGATGAATTTTGGATTCAGGATGAGTCCTCCAGCAGTCTAACGTCGAAGCCTCATAGTCTGCTGAATCCATTTGAAAAGGAAGGCACATCCAGTTAGGTACAAATCTTGTAATTAAGCTAGTGTTTGGCTAATGTAAATCCCGGTTACATCATTGTAGAGGCTTCCTCTGAAAACATTTAATACATTTTAGTGAATGTTTATTGAAATTATGTTCTTAATGATTGATAAACTTTGCCCTGGAATATTTGTTTTTTTACACAGAAAGCCCAACTAATATGGTGCTGGGTGACGACATTGGTGCAAATGCTGACCATGGTCTGGCCAAGCTAGGATCATCCATGGGTTCTCCGTCAGGACCACGCTCAGGTATAACAATGCATATTTACCTTACTTTGAGTTTTATAGCTGTGGAGCTCTGTGATATATTCATACACTGCACATTACTGTGAGTTTTATTGCTGTGGAGTGTGGCGGAACCAGCCTCGCCACTATGCACTGGAGAAGCCTGGTTGCCAGCCTCCTGCCATGTGACTATGGCCCCTGGGATGTATTGCCCTTTAAAGACATGATTTGGGCATAATGGATTTGTGTTGTGCTTCTGCTGGCCCTTTTAAGAACCATCTGGGGACATACTGTGGAGTTACTGGGTGGCCACCATTTCCTGTATCAGAAGCACATGGTGAGAACAATGGATGGCGGCCATTTTAACTCACAGACACTGTGTGGACTTTTCAACACGGTGCCATCTCGCCAGTATTTGTTGCACAGAGACATCGTGCGGTGGTTTTGTGGTTTTGGACTATACAGCAGGGGACACATTATACAGTGATTGTTTTTTATTTAGCCTGCATATGTTCTGCAGAATCTGCATTAAACTGTAAATTTCCAAAGTACGGAACGGATCTGGGTGAATTTTGGATATGTGGTTCACCCAGATCCCCCAGTTCCAAGGATATACTTTTTATGGGGTTATTGCATGTTTTGGGGTCCCTGTGATGTACTTTTCCATCATTCCTATTGATAGGACACTGATTGGCTAGATCAGTGTCCCCCCTGGAGTGGGCATGAAAAAAGAAAAGAAAAAAGAAAAGGGAAGGTGGTAAATATGAAAAAAGAAACATGTATGTGTAACGGAGAGATAGTATAATCCACGGTATCTCCGCTGGGTAACAGGAACAGCATAAAATAATCCAGGCAAATAAGCACAGCATACAATAATCCCGGTAGCGTTGTATGAATCCTTCCTTCCCAAGAACTAGACGACACATAGGCTGGGAGTCAACTGAGCTGTTAATCACAGGTCACTGTATTTATGGGATTCCCCATGCAAGGGGTTTCCCTACTGACATTCCAGGGGTTGTAAAGTAGGGGACTACATGGAAAACTTAACAACCCGGACATTTCTCCCACCACGCACTGCTGCACGAGAGGGATACCCACTTAAGTGGATTATCCCTCGGTGCAGCAGAACTGACATTTTACATAAAAATACATAACTTCCCTATTATTCACGTTATTTTACCGAATGACCGTTCGGCAGATAGCTGGGGTCTGAGCATACCCTTCGTGAAAGTACCACTCAGATCCCAACATAAATAACCGAACGCCGCATGAAAATACATATTACTTTATATTCATCTTAAAATACCGACTACATATAGGGGAACAAACTACCAAAGGACCGGTGCCCCCGAACGGCCTGGAAGTCCAGCGGTATTCGTGCCGTCGAGTAGCCGATTTTAGTTCCAGGCGCTCGATGACCAAATACCGCTGGGCTAACAAAGGAACCAAGATGGTCGACTGCCGCGTGGTCGGTAGCCGAACGGCGGCCACCCTGAAACCCAATATTCACTGAAGGAAACATTGTTGCAATCTTTAATGGGAGACACACGACCTCCTGTGTGTGGTCTCCCATTCAATAGTTAGTTCGTTTCACGAACAGTGTTGAAATACACTGTTTGTGAAACTATTGTATGAAGGCTGGTGGCTTTCTCGCCGCCAGCATACGAATGTTCGCACAATATACATATACAGTTATCAACTTGGTTCTAACAGTCTTTAAAGGGATAGTATACCACACATGAAAATAGATGCTGAAGTGGCTGGTTTTGCCACAGTATGTAAAAACGATACAGAAACTAAAGCTTTTGATTGATGCAGTTGTCTCAAAATGATGCATGTCCTTTTAAATGTAGAAATCCACGCCTCTTTATCCTGTAACTGGGTGCAGGGAATGCAACTAGAAACTGCTGCAAGATGTATATAAATCTCTTCCCACAGGCTCAATAGAAAATAACCAGAACTTATTACAAAGAAACAGTCAACAATTGACTGTACAGGTCTCTAAATCCTGATTTTTTTTCTACTGATACATAAACAACAAATTCAAGCTGTGATATATACTATATTATACCATGCCCAGCTACAATATTGGCATACATGAAAACAATGACAATTCAGTGGTCCCTTCAACCGGGATACCCAGGAATTCCTGTCACTCTGATTAGAACAGGCAGGATTTAGAAGGGGAGGCAGATGGAACTGGCTGTCCTACAAAAACTCCGAAAGAGTTTTGAAGTGTTTAATCCAAACATTTCTAGGCAAGACAGGATGGTTCACAACATTTTTCTACTGACAATAGAGCTTGAATACATAAACTGCCAACTGTCATTGTCATTGTAGCTATAAACTCTGTCCTTTGCATGTGACAGTCGGCATCGAGAGGGCGTACAGAAAAGAGGAGAAACAGAAGCAATGCTTCTATTTCAACTTCTCCAATGCAATGTCATGACTGTGCCAGGAGTAAACTGGATTGTGGTGCCAACTGCTAAATCTTTAATATACACAGAGCATCTTTATATAAAAGGGGAACACAAGTTGGAACTTGTTTTTTAATGCTTTATTCAATGGTGGAACCTTCAGCAAAGTGGCAGTTCCTCTAAAGTGAAAAGGTTATAGATCATCAAATTCAAGCTCATTTTCCATGCCATCTTTATTTCCCTAGGAGAAAGCCCTGAATTTACTGCCCTCGTGTCACGGCTAAAGATGGGAGAATGCAGACAGACAAAGCTCACTCTACAGGACGTTCTGAATATCGGGCAGGAATCCATGAATGACATTGAACTACGGACTGTAGAGAACATTCCCTGGTATTTTCTGCAGAATGTAATGGCTCTCAATGTGAACGCAAGAAACACAACACTTAAAGAACCCGCACAAAGTGAAAAGACTAAGTATAGTCTGAGCAGGTTTCAGTGTTATGACGATGATGAAGAAACAGACTCGTCTGATTCTGTCCACCCCCGGGATGTTCTGTGTGTTCTCCTGAATTGTTCAGACCATTTCTTACAACAGGAAATTGTAACAAAGATGTCCACATGCCAGTTTGCTGTCCCTCTGCTGCTCCCTGCTGGGGATGGTTCTAACTGCACCTTCATGCTATGGGCAATGAGAGATATTGTGAAGAGATGGAGACCTCGCTCATTAGCAGACAGTAAAGGGTTTATGGAGGATAACGTGGTGAACATTCCCATGCCGATCTTCTCTTTTGTGCGGCTAGGTACATGTACCTTATCCAAATCTAAATTCCTGAATCATTTGCTAAGCCCGACTCACTCACATTACAGTATTTTTGTGAATCAGGACATGGATTGTGGGAATTACCCTGGAAAGGTCTCTGATGGGTTAGTAGAGATATCTTGGTTCTTCCCTGGTGGTTCGGGGAACTCTGAAACTTTCCCAGAACCCTTTGCTGTCACCAATTTACACGGAGACCTGGAATCTAACTTGGCACAATTCACCTTTCTAACACAGATATCTGCCACTGTCTTTATATTTATTGAGAGTTTTACTGAAGAGCATTACATACTGTTTACCAAGCTCCGAGACACAGACACAAATTATTATTTTATTCTTAGTCCAAGTAATGACAAACAGAAAATGCAGATTTCAGGAGAAAATCTGAAAAAACTGTCCTCAACACTAAAGGTTTTCATAATTAAACCCAGCAATAGAAATCCATTTAAATCTGTAAGTGATATTCAAGAAATTATCTCAGACAGTATGAAGGACAAGGGCAGTCGGCAAAGCCTAGACAGTATGGCAATAGTCGCCAATAGGTATGGAATAAAAGTAGATGAGGATTCTGTGGAATGTCAGAATGCCAGGAAGCATGCCTTGTTAATCATTAGTGAAATAAAGAATGTAGCTCAATACAAGAGAGAAAATATGCAATTGCAGGGAGATCTGTGGAAGGAGATATCTGGCTTGGAAAAAGAGATGTGTAGAATGAAGAATCAAGGAAGATGTAACACTACTATTTACAGAAATCAACTCGTGAAAAAATGTTTTGACTTAACAAAGACCCAATATCAACATCAGATGCCTGAGGGCATCAAGAACTTTCTTACCGCTATCACTCATTTAACAGAGACAGGAAAATGTTATTTCATGAAATGGCTGAAGTTTTATCTGGACTCTATAGCTAGAAGGCATGGTTTAAAGTTACAGGCTGAGTACAGGAGAAAAAGCATTGCAGAGTCAACAAAAGAAAATGAACTGAAGCGACTTTCCCACGATATATCATATAGTTCATTGGGGATTGAGCACTTCATTCGTGAGATGGGGCAGTTCTATGAAGTTGAATGTTCTATGATTAAACAGGAACAAATCAGTCCAAAGCAGAAACAATGCAGTCATCTCCCAGGAATAGCAGCTGATCTCCTGCTGGGTGGGTTCCCATTGGAGCTGATTGATGGAGATGTTTCTAATATCCCTCTGCAGTGGATAGAAAGCATCCTTAATGAGCTGGAAACTAAAACAAAAGGACAATGCAGAATGAGAGTGATCACCGTGCTGGGAGTTCAGAGTACAGGGAAATCCACCCTTCTGAACACCATGTTTGGTTTGCAGTTCCCAGTGTCTAGTGGACGATGTACACGAGGGGCTTTCATGACCCTTATTAAAGTGAAAGAGGAAGTCCAGCAGGAGCTGGGCTGTGACTTTATTCTGGTGATTGATACTGAAGGTCTGAAAGCTCCAGAATTGTCTTCTCTGGAGGATAGTTTTGAACATGACAATGAGCTGGCAACGTTCGTTGTCGGACTGAGTGATATCACCATAATTAACATGGCCATGGAGAACATGGCAGAAATGAAAGACACCTTGCAGATTGTGGTTCATGCTTTCCTTAGGATGAGTGAAGTTGGAAAGAAACCCAATTTCCACCTTGTACATCAGAATGTAAGCGATGTGACAGTACACACAAAAAATGAGGTAGGTAGAGAAAATCTTTTGAATTAACTAAATGAAATGACTCAACGAGCAGCTCAAATGGAGAAACGGAATAAATCCATGAAATTTTGTGACATAATTGACTTTGATACTGAAAAGCACAGCTGGTACTTTCCTGGATTATGGCATGGGGTCCCACCTATGGCAATAATAAACCAAGGTTACAGCGAAAATGTCTTTCAATTGAAAAAATACTTATTTACACTATTAAAAGAAAGGCAGTCACCTGAGCCTCAGAATATAAATTCTTTCATGGAATGGACAAAGAGTCTGTGGAATGCAGTAAAACATGAAACATTCATTTTCAGTTTCCGAAATATCCTAGTGGCAGAAGCTTACGATCAAATGTCTGTAAAATATTCAGAGTTGGAATGGAACTTTCGCAAAAAGGTCCATTCTAATTTGGCTAAGTATGAAAATATAATTAAGAACCAATTACCAGAAAATCTTCAAAATGTAACATCAGATATTCTAGAAAAAAGAATCAAGGAACTGCTAGACAGAGAAGAGACACATATGACCCAGACATTAGAACAGTTCTTCAAGAGTGGGTGTTCCAACGTGCACCTGATAGAAAGATATAGGGGAGATTTTCTGATATATGTGAAAAGTCTAAGGAAAGATCTTGAAGTTATGGCATCCAACAAATGTTGGGAGGCTGTCCGAATTCAAAATGTGAAAAGCGAGATTCAGATCATACAAACCAAAATCCAACAGTTCATTGAAGAAAAAGTCACCAAACATTTACAGAATCACAGAATGAACCACAGTACTCCGAATGAAAGAGAACTGAAGCTGGAATTTAATGCCTTGTGGGATAATATTTTACAAGAATTCAATATGACCAGATTGAGGAAGCATCGAATTGAAATTGAAATGTTGGAACAACTAAAACGGGAGATGAAGAACAGACCAGGTGCGGTTACTGAGAAATTAAATAACGTTAAGTCACTAAAATACTATGAACAGAAGAGCTTTGAAATGAATAACATCTACATGGATCATGGCTTTTTCTGGAATATTGTGGAATTCATTACCAAAGATTGCTATAAAAAGTTATCTCACATTGCACATTCGTTAGCTGAAGATTGTCAGGTTTATGTTAATGAAAAAATAAACACAGAAGAAGATTACAATGAAATGTACTGTCAGAATCTACTAGACATGATAAATCACAAATTGGATGAAGAAGAGGTTAGAAAACTTCACCCCACCCCGCAGTTTGAGGTGGATCTTAAACTCCATGTTTTGGGAGGAGCAGCTCCTCTTTTCCAGAACATGCATGATAACTTTGGCATAAATAATGATCCAATACGGGTTACCAATAAGTTTAAGCCTCAGTACTTCTCGATATTTAAAAACAGGATGCTATATAAAGACAAGTCCAGGAGACACGCTGAACATTTCTGTGAGCAATGTTTGAAGCCTGCCATAAAAGAACACACCTACAAAAATCTTGGAAAAGAAATAATTGATGATATGTTGAAATGTGCCGATGCCATGATGTTCAGCAGTCGTAAACATTTCCAGTTGACCCTTTTGAAGGAACTTCTTGAAATAAACAGATTTGAGAACTACTTACGATATGTAACAAAATATGACAACTATGTAAAAAGGTGGATTTCCAAATATATTGTTAAGAAATACAACAACTCTGCAGAATTAGATAATTTAGTATCACAAATTGTCTCTTCCATTGGTAAAAAAATCAAAGCAGCTCTTCAAGAACCGATAGTACAAAGTAGTCAAAGTGTGTCTCAAATGTTGCAAGTCTTCTCAATGGAGTTGAAGAAAGATTTGGTGCTTTCAAAGAGTGCAATGAAAGTGACCAGTTTCCAGAACATCTCAAATATCCGCCAGTTTTCTACTGATATTGCATACTTTCTTGATTCAACGGAAGAGGAAATAAAGTCCAGCATAGTATCTATGGGTATTGAGGATGTCCTTCCAAAGCTGACATTTAAACCTCAAGATGAATTATGTCAGAAGATCATTGGATGTGGAAAGAGATGTCCATTCTGTGATGCTCCCTGTGAAGCCGGTGGGAATAATCATCAATATCACTTTTCAAGCTTCCACCGACCTAAAGGATTAGCCCCATACAAGTGCTCAGAATCCAACATCCTTTGCAATTCCACATGTTCTGCTGATGTCTTTTCCAATGACAGCTTTATAAACTCTGACACAGATGGCAAATGGCTGCAGTACAAAGATTACCGAACCATTTACCCAAACTGGGTCATTCTACCAGACAGAGACCTGAATTCCTCCGATTACTGGAAATTTGTACTTAAACAGTTTAATGATAGTTTTGCAAAATATTACAATGTCGAGCCAGCAGACATCCCAAGCGAATGGAAAAGACTAACTCAAAAACAAGCTCTCAGTTCTTTGCAAGAAAATATGAAATAAGAATATTGTAAACTCCATAAGTGAAATTTTAATCATACTTTTTTTCTGCATGTTCCATTTTGTTTTACACCTATAACAGAGGAAGAATTTAAAGACTCACATGCTTAATAGGCAGAATATCTTTCTTTATATAGAAGTGACCGCTACAGCTTTGACGATGGTGTTTCATTGTCCTTCATTAAAATCTATGATCTGTGGCATTATTACACATTTCTAGACCATTTATTTATTATGAATTCCCCTTAAATCCAAGAAATGAATGTGCATACCACACAATGCCACCACAATGAATCACAGGCAGCATGGGCATTCTATCTACCTTTAACATCTTACTGTCGAATGTCACCATGAGAACTCGCTGGCTGGGTGTGACTGATACTTACCTTTAACTACTTACAGCAGAATGTCACCATGAGAACTCGCTGGCTGGGTGTGACTGTTACTTACCTTTAACTACTTACAGCAGAATGTCACCATGAGAACTCGCTGGCTGGGTGTGACTGTTACTTACCTTTAACTACTTACAGCAGAATGTCACCAGGAGGACACACTGGCTGGATGTCCATGTTGCCTGCCTGTAACATCCTGTACATTTGAAGTAATCTCATGTTTCATTCAATCCCAATCTCCATTATCTCCTTAAGATTGTGGGTTCATAGACCATCTCTCGGTGCACTTAGTATAAAATAGTTTTCATGATAGATTATGCCATCTCAGAAACACTACACCATCTCAGAAACACTACTCCATCTCAGAAACACTAAGCCATCTCAGAAGCACTATGCCATCTCAGAAACACTACACCATCTCAGAAACACTACTCCATCTCAGAAACACTACTCCATCTCAGAAACAGTACTCCATCTCAGAAACACTACGCCATCTCAGAAACACAACACCATCTCAGAAACACTACGCCATCTCAGAAACACAACACCATCTCAGAAACACTAAGCCATCTCAGAAACACTACTCCATCTCAGAAAACACTACTCCATCTCAGAAACACTAAGCCATCTCAGAAGCACTACGCCATCTCAGAAACACTAAGCCATCTCAGCAAACACTAAGCCATCTCAGAAACACTACGCCATCTTAGAAACACTACACCATCTCAGAAAACACTACGCCATCTCAGAAACACTATGCCATCTCAGAAACACTACGCCATCTCAGAAACACTACTCCATCTCAGAAACACTACGCCAGCTCAGAAACACTATGCCATCTCAGAAACACTACGCCATCTCAGAAACACTACACCAGTAATAGCGGTTATGTTGTGTACGATAACAGTGCAGTAGCCAAAACTAAAACCCCAATTAGCCAGGCATGAATCATTACATAAAAAGACCCCCTTTCTTTGCTGCATTGCAGGTGGAGGGTAATATTATCTTTAAACATTTTGTCAAATGTCTTACCCCTTTTCTCCACCTTCTGCGAGCAGAACAATAAAAGTATGATGGGTTAAGGGGGTTCCAATACCATCTAGCACCAGTATAAAAAGAGGACCAGTGTATGTACAGCCTCTGGGCTCTATACACACTATCATTGCCATAAAGAACAGGAACCGCAGCCACAATGGATGCCAATCAAACATGACCCGAATTACCCCCATACATAACAGGAAAACCAAAAAACACTCAGGTGCACCAGGACTCAGTTTCAGGCAACTTTAACATTGTGTGGTCTTGGCCAAGCTTTGACACTGAACCCTGGTGTGCCCAAACCTTTCCTATATCCTTTAACAGCAGGTGATCCTCGAGTTTCCCAGAGGGCAGGAGTATTTGTCAAACACCTAACATGTTTCTTGCTTGCAAGAACTAAGTGATGATTTAAGTATAGAGCACTAACCATGTATGTCATGTTATGGCTTTCATTTCCTTTAATTAGCCGCTAGATGTCAGCAGAGTACAAGTACAAGACAAGAGATGTAGGTCAGGGTAGATGTAGACATTTTTTACCTAGATAAAATAGCTGATATACTCACTGTATATGTATGTGTGCTTGTGATGGTTATGTAGTAAGCAGGGGTATAATTTGGCAAACCTCTTAGGTGGGTCTTACACTAACATTCACCTTTCTTGCTTCAGCTTAAAATGACACTGTAGGCACCCAGACCACTTCAGCTAATTGAAGTAGTCTGGGTGCTGCAATGTTTACATTGCAGCTCTACGTCTGCCTGCAGTGGTGGTCTGTTATCTGCATGAGGACCTCCAGTCATATTTTCTCCATAGGAAAGCACTGATCAATGCTTTCGTATGGGGAAATCCTAATGCACAGCCATTGCCGCGCATGCTTATTAGGTCTCCCCGTCGGCTGAAAATGGCGGGGGAGGAGCGTGGCGGAGCCTGACCCAGTGGCAAGGAACATTGACGCTGGATTCAGGTAAGTGACCTTTATTTTTGAATTTTGAATTATTATTCAATGCTTTCCTATGGGGATTCCGGCGATGCTGGAAATCCTCATGCATTGCGTAAGGACACTACGCATGCATTGCGCAAGGACGTCCAGCGTCGTTTAGACAACAAAGTCGTCTATTCACCCGGAAGTCCCTCTAGTGGCTGTCTGGTAGAGGAGGAGTTCACCTTAGCAGATAATTATTACAGTTTATAAAGCTGCAATAATTACATGTTTAGGGTTAAGGGTGATGGGAGTTTCCACCCAGACCACTTCAATGAGCTGAAGTGGTGTGGGTGCCTACATTGTCCCTTTAATAGTGAACACATGGGGTGGGTGGCAGCATTGGAACATAGCTGTGTGATACAAAAGTGAATACAAATACAAAAAACAAGTACTTAGAGCCAATGGACATTTTAGTTACTAAATAACCTTCATTTATTTAAATATACTCAGGGATTTGAGATAGAGCACAGGCAACTTTTTCTTCTTTGGTTTTTATTGTAAGTATTGTGGATGATGTGTACTATAGTCATTGCTGCCCAGGAGTAGTGGGAGTCTAAGTGCAGGACTTATTTCTGTGTATTTGTGTTTACCTTTTGTATCACACAGCCTTGTTACAATGCTACTGCCCATCCCATGTGTTCCCTATTAAGGGTTAATAAGTATATAGGGGTGTATATAGAAAATACCCCTCTCTGTCTCATTAGAGATATCTTTGCCAGAAGCTCAAGGAAGCACAGTGAATGTCGTCTACGGGGTTTGCCGTGACGCGACAGGTGAGTTTACACCTAATGGCCATTGGAGTAACTAAAAACCTCCAGTTATTAAAAAAATGCTCAGGGATTTGGGGTAGTGTGCAGGCAACTCTTTTTTTTTTCTTTGGTTAATTCTCAAAATTTGGGAATCTTGTGTCTAAGCCAAAAACAAGAGTTTATGAGATCACTGAGAGAGGTCATCGTCTTGAACAGCCTTCAGTGGCCCAAAGAGGCCAACACCAATCTCTCATGCAGAGAAAACCTGCTGGCATTTCAGATCTGAACTTACCTGGAGATGGCCATGTGAGCTCAAACCTGTTTGAGACCTGAGTGGGCAGAAGGACAAGCTATTTCAGCTGTTGTCCGTTCTCAGTATATTCTCGTAAACTCTTGGTTTTGGCTAATTTTAGGCAAAACGCAGTAAAAATGGAAATCGTCACTAAACAGTGAGTTCTGCTGCATTGACAGAAGACTGGCACGTTTTAGGGTTTTAGTGCAGCTTTGAATAAAATATTAAAATAAGACTTCCACTTTTATTTGTGTGAGTGTTTCCAATCCTGAGATTTCTAATGTTGCTTGCTAGGTTTTTACATGTATCTCAGATCACTGCTTAGTGAATACAACCTCCCATACTGTTCTATACCTCATACTCCTCCCATCATTGACACAGAGTGAAAGTGAAAGTAACTTGTACGAGAAACGAGGGAAAGAAAGAGCGCGAAGACCTGAATTTAAGCAATCAAATCACCGTTCAAAATGTAGTGAATTCTACGATGGCTCCATTAAAGGTAAATCCCCGACTGGGTTTAATCTGCTCTTAGCAGTGCTAGCAGAGACAAGCTTAAAGGGACACTATAGTCACCAGAACAACTACAGCTTAACTCCTGTTAGTGGATAGCTCTTCCACAAATCGTCTGAGGGGAACTTCTTTCTATTGTTAATACAATCAGTGATGTCTGAGAACGAACTGAGAACTTCAAGGGAAACCCAGATTTCCAAAATGTGCGCTGCCGTTCATTGGGAAACAGGGGAGACTGTGAAAATTTTGAGGAATATGTTGAGGTTTCTAAAATTTTGAATAACGATCTCTGTCCTACTGTCTCTCTATGTCTTTAGCTGTATCTCTCCCCATCCTCCATTTCTTCCTGTCTCTTTCTATATCTCTTCCCCTCTCTCTCCATCTGCCCGTCTCTATTACCTCTTCTTTCACACACTCCCCCTGTTTCTCTGTCTCTCTCCCTGCCCCCCTCCCTATCTCTTACTATCTCTTCTACATGTCTTTCTCCTCCTCCTCTCTCTCTCTCTCTCTCTCTCTCAGGCTGGCAGAGGGGTACAGAGAAAAATATCCTATCACACTTCTGGCTAAGTTCTTGACCCCTAGATCAGCACCAAAATGTTTCCTTGCCCATAGTTTTAGTGGATTCCAAATCGTGGTAAAAGACACATTATATCCAGAAGGCACGGGGAGATTGCAAACAATAAATGTCTACTGTAGCAGCAGATCTTAACACTCACAGCAGAGACTGCTGTCAAAAAACGGAACGGAGTCTAATGAATGTGTTTTGTAAATCTAATTTTGTTGCATATTATCCCGCATTGGCAGAACGTGTCACCATGTATATGTGTCATTTGGGTCCCTGTCAAACAACCTCTGATTTACTTTGTGATTGTGTGTTTTGTTTTTTTTATAATGAGAGGAATTTGTTGGTTTTCTGATGTGATGCATGCAGTGTGTTATATGATTTTATTATTATTATTGTTATAATTATTATTTATATAGCGCCATCAGATTCCATAGCGCTGTATAATGAGATGTACATCTCAAGCAGTGTGGAGTAGGGTTCCATAAACACCAATATTACACATTGAAACCCCTCTGCCGACCACCTCTCCCCCCCCTCAGTTAGAACTCCAAGCCAGCTGATATAATCCAGGGATGTGGACCTCCCTCTACCTGTCCTGTACATATTTTGAATAAACTTTTACAATTATTTTTTCAAAATGTTAAAATATGAAAAAAAACTATTAAAAAAATATGAAAACAAAATACTGCAATATCCTTCTAAATTGTTTAAAAAGTGTATCCAAAACTATGAAATCATTTGAAAAGCATATATAGGAATATTAAATTGTGCCTTAGGTAGAATAACCCATGTGAATATTAGAAGATTAGAATATGGCTTCATATTTTTATGAAAGAAACTATGCAGAACCAGGTTTAACTCAGAAATAATCAAAAATTATAAGAGATCTGTAACTATCCAAAAATCCACCAAATGTATTTTATATTGTATTAAAATATCAGGATATGGGACGGGGCCTGACTGCCAAGTGAGCTCCTTAGCTTGTGAGAAATCTGCTTATAAATCCACATAACTTGTAATTGAGTGGCTGAATTTGACTCTCAATCTGTGTAGACAGTTTTGGCAACTTCTGAACAGTTTTACCAGCATTACTGGGAGGTTTGTGGGACTCGATGCTTACTGCCATTTGTTCTGGGGCGGGAAACGCGGCTCATCTCCCACCCGCCTGTGCTTCGACTGCAGTCTGAGTAACGCTTTCTCCCTTTGCACCAGTAGGGGCTATTTCAGTAATCCTTAATCCTACAAGCTTTGTTCTGCCCCTAATCCGAGTTTAAGTGGCATAAGATGGCCGACGCTCGTGTTCTAACAACACCTGGGCCTGGTGCCGCACCAGCTAAACCCGACTGGTTTACCCCATCGCTAGGCTGGATGCTACCTTTGGGCTCTTCTGGGCAAAACTGAAAGAACGCTTGTAGATGGCGGCACCGAATTATTTGCCCCTTGCAGACAAAGTGGTTTTTGAGGCTGCAACTACTGTTCACATTTTCCGTCCTGGGCCGAGAGCTACTCTGGGTATGACACCTGCACACCACCCATGCAGGAGGAAGGCCGTTAGACATCATCCCCAACGATTGCACTGATTCTGCATATGGGGCTTGCACAGGTCCCCTACAGGGAAAACCAGGTCTCTGTGAGTTACCAAATTAGTGGTCATAATGTGTCAGCTCTTTTTGACAGGCATGCTGCTGACAGGGTATTCCACACTCACTCCGCTTCTCGGATCTCTCAAGTGGACTTCACAAGTAGCCCTACAAAATACCCAGTCAGGGAGTTGGTTGACTGACCTTATTACCTACATCTTAATTACACAGGAATATTGTATGGGGCTTACAGCAAATAGACCTGTAGTCTTAGCACTGAATATGGCACTTATATCGCCTTCCTTAAACACCTAGTGAAATCTTATTATGCTGCTACTATCATTAATACTTGTATTTTTGCTTTCCTCAGAGGGGGCTTGAGTCAATATTTCTGTATAGGGTGCCCTTTAGTCAGACCTCATGGTCATGTTTCTTTTAAGCCTCTTAGCTCCATTGTGCTATCCTGCTGAGCGTCAGCCTCCATGTGGCTTATACAGTCACACATTCACCATATCTATTCATAAAGCATGTATGTACGTAGTGGGCATTGGATAGCATTCCCTTCATCCCCCATAAAACCATAACTTACCCCTTCAAATAACGACAGACAACAATTTGCATATAGTCATACAGTAACCAAAGAAACCGTCCTTGCCAATCTAACTTCCCCAAGGCTCTCACCTCCCCCCTCGGCATAATAAAAACATCTTCCTTTTCAGGGCTCCCCACCAACTCGGTGGGGCCAAACCATAATGCTCCCCACTGGTCGACTTACAACCCAGTGGGGACACGTCCAACCTGGTACCCCCTCCAGGTTCACCATAAGAGACAGAGGGAGGATGAGACCTGGCCATTATCCCCCTTTTTCATCTAATCTACCAAACCAACCCTTATTTGGCAAGGACATGCCCCGCCTCGCTGTGACAACAAACCTGTTGTATTACATTGTTTCTACTACACACTTTATATTGTTACTGTATGATGTAAGAATCGTGCTCAGGCTACAATAAAAAAAGATTAACGAAAAAATGATCAGGTTAATAATCTTCAGAGACGTTCACAACATGAGAAACCTTGGACGCCCATTTAATTGGGCCAATAGTTTTAATAGACTGTTGCTCTAATGTGATATATTTTTATGACATCTCTAGATTTTTTTTATTTTTCCAATACGTCCTGTTGAGTTTTTACCCTATACCTCTGAGAAAAAAATAATAGTAATACAATCATTAAAACCGTGAATTTTAGTGAATTAAAAAATGAATAGTAAAATTTAGAAAATTCTTCAATTCAGCTGTAGTGCAAACATGACTATTTTTGCAGTTTATTTTTTTAATTCACTACAGTTTTTTGTTTTTTTTATAGACCCTTATGTGTCTTTTTTTAAGTTATCCAAGGGAAATCAATCAAATAACACACAGCTCTTTTTTTCGATATGGATGTGACCATGTGACCTTGTTTTCATTGTAACTCTTGATTTTGGAATATACAAGGCATTCTGTGAATGTTCACTCTTGTTGTCGGTTGTGATGTGCTAACTTGCTTTCTACAATATACATAACTGAGACCTATTAATCATGTTATTATTTCAATATATATTTATTTTCTTTGTTCCAGTGGTGCAATGGATGACTACACAGAAGTCAGGTCATTAAATGGAGAAATTAACACTTCAATTCAATCATTCCTTAACATCAGCTAACATCCCATTTTTGCCACTGCCTCCAGACACAGTGACCTGGCTGGTTGACATACACACTTGTAGTAGGAAAAGGTCCAGTTTTTTAAAAACTCATTTGCCATTTTATAACGATACGTTTAGGTTGAAGAGTCACTATGTTTAGTAAAGTTAAAGATATTTTGGTTTATGCATTGAAAAACATTGATAGCCAACAATTCAAGTCATTTAAAACTAAACTAAACATCTGTGAGTTACCATCACCGTGGCATGGGATAGCCAATAGTACTCTCCAAAATCTAGACCAGGAGGACACAGCAACCCATATCATCAGCTATAACACCATCAATCAGGCTCCGGAGATCGTCATGTGGATCCTGGAAAAGATAAACGAGAGACAGCTCTGCCTTGAGGTTCGAACCAAGTTGAAGAAAGGTGAGATACAGTATTTGTCCTTAGTAACTAAGCTGCCATCTGTTTATGTTTGTTTGGTACTGGGAACGGATATTACTTGTTAAACTAATCATTTTTATAATACACGTTCTGTGCAGGGAGTTGCATCAATTGCTCTATTTTCCCGGCCTGAGCAAAATACAAAGTAAACAAAATACACAATGACAAACCCATTACATACAGACATACATATGAGTATAAAAGTAACTATATATATAGAAACATTATGAGATTTTGAAAAAACCCTATGGACTGGTTTTATTGCGTTGCATTTATTTAAATTGTTTTTTGCAATCCAGTTATTTTTTTTTAAATTTTAATAGTTTAGCTATTTTGACGTCAAAATTTGAAATTCACGTCAAATGCACTCTGAATTCTCACGTTAATGAATAAACCTGTAGATTTTGCAATTTAATTCACGAACGTGTCCGATGTGTGGAATAGACCCATACATTTTAATTCAATTGTGTGTGTGTGTGTGTGTGTATGTATGTATGTATGTATGTATGTATGTGTGTGTGTATATATATATATATATATATATATATATACATACAATCTCAATTATTATGATTTGTTTATCTGGTCCTGACAGTGGGATACCGCAGCTGCAATGTAGACGATAAGGAGACACAGACAGATCCAGGTATGTAGGTAATACAGGTAGGTAATATCCGAAGGCTATTAGCCGAACTCTACGTCTAGAATAAAATGGATATAAACAGAGAATTCAAACCCACCACGATTTGACCCTCGCAGAAATCGTCCTTTAATACTTCTCATTTTACCTCTCCCAATGCTTCTGCTTATTTAGTGTCTGATTTTCTAGCACCACATTGCCCCCACTATTTCAGTTGGTGTCCCACCTTGTCCCCTTTTTATTTTCCTTCTATATGGCTTATCTTGGTAACGTCATCAGTTTATTGTGATCCAGGACCATCTATAGTCTGGTCACTCTCAGAATGTGAGCCGTACCTTCTTCACCTCTCCATCTGCCAACATTGCTCTACATGTTAATCACTTTTTGCTACATATCCCACTTTATTCTATAGTGCTGTGGAATATGATGATGATGATGATAGAAAAAAAAGGTAATAAAAATAATGATTAAACCTGTACCATCCTTTTAAATTGTCCACCGTAAAATATCTGCTTTATCACGGGTATCTTGGTTGGGGATACGGCTTCATTTCTGTAAGAATTGATTTAACAATCCGAGGATTAACACATCAGGATATAATGACAAGTGGAGACCTGAGGGTTACTAACATTCGAGGTTAAGTAAGATACATAGTTCTATAATGGTATGAGAGGTTCCTATGGGACAATTATTCCATAGTCTCCATTTTCTTGGAGAGAAGTGAGACTTTGCTGTCAGAGCTCTCTTGTATGTACGTAGTGGGGAATCGTGATGCAGCCTAGAACAAAAACTAACCCCATTCAACCCCCCAATAACGACAGACCACTTAGTATGGATGAAACTGGCCACAGCATTTATTATCACAAACTAAATTACTGCATAACACATCCATAACTTTATTTATTAAATCTCTTCTTTTTCTGTAACCAAAAACGTTAGACATAAATAAGCATAAATTAACATATATACATATATAACTCCACCCATAGTGTTATACAGTGACCCAACCGTCCTTGTCAATAAACATACATTGATTCCCAATCACCACTTCCTCTCACCTCCCCCCTCGTCATAAAAATCATATCTTTCCAATGCCCGCCATCAGCCGACCTTATCCACGCTCGATGGGCACGACACCTCAGGCAACCTAATGTTAACCGTTTGAAGCAGGGGAGGTTGAGACCTTAAAAACTTGTTCATCTCATTCCATATACTTAAACCTAACCCCTCAAACTCAATTGGCAAGGATATACCCCCGGCTAGCTGTGACTAAATATACTAATAGGGCGGGAGGGAGGCTGTTTGTTGGCCCGAATCCCAAGTGGCACTGAGGTAAGACCTCCCCCACACTAACTTACACAGAACATAATCCCACCCACACACTCTTTCCTATCCAATCCCATGCATCTATCCCCACACTCCTACATGTGCCCTTGTCCGCTTAGCTGCGCTATCTCCCCAGGGCCTGATTGGTTGGTATACAAGTCCACCAATCAGAGAACTATGACTGAGATTGCAGAGTGTATGAACGCCCTATAAGAGCTTTTCCTGCCATGCACGGTCAGTATGTTTTGCGCCTTCTAAGGGCTCACACGGATTGTTATTATTATTGTTATTATTGTGTCACTTGTCTTTTTCTGATGCTCTGATTTATTTTATTTAATATGCTATATATTTTATTTTTGATAGCTTTTGCACAAAGTGAATAGGTGTTTTGCAGAATGCTGCTCTATACACCTGTCTTCTTAGCCACACCCACCCATGCCAGAAAGACTTCCTGATCAATGTACGTACATAATCTCAGCCCCAAACAGCCCTGAGTGAGCGGCTTTAAATTCACAACCTGACAGCAGACAGTCAGAGAAAATAGTAGTAGTGATATATTTACTGTATGTCTCCCTGGTTGTCCTCTCTTTCTAATGCAGGTTATTTTGTAGTTCAGAACATTCAGTGCCGTCAATGACTGAGCTGTGTACATACATTGATAAGGAAGTAATTTTCTGGAGTGAGGGGGTGTGGCTAAATAGGCAGGCTTATGGTGCAGCATTCTGCAAAACATTTATTTATTTTATGCTAAACCGAAAAAGATTTAAACATGCAAAAATACAGCATATTAATAAGGTCAAAACCTCAATGCATTAAAGTAGTATTGGTACTAAGACTGCCCTTTTAAGCTGAAAATAAAACATAGCTGAAAATGTTTCCAGATTGGCTTATTTGACATTAAATGTTTAATTCACTTCAAATTCCCTTTGAATTCTCACTTCAGTGAATAACCTTGTAAATGTTGCAAATCCAGCTTTTAATTCACGAGAGGGTCCAAAGTGCAGAATAAACCCATTGATTTAAATGCTGTATATATTAATTGTTCTGCTTTCCCTTTGTGACATGAGCAGCAATCTATAATACTACGGATCATAGACATTTGTAAATTGCATATTTTCCATCTAGACATTTTTTTCACAAATATGTTCTTTTTCCTTAGTGGATGTCATGATGCTCAATGAAAAAACGCCACATAAAACACTTGATTCAGGTAATAATGATGTAAAAAGATTATATAGTTCAGGTAATCTCATAATAAGATCTTCAACTGTTTTTAAAGATTTGAATTAAAGTTTCTTTTTCTTTTCTTTTTTTTGCATTTTAACTGAAAAGCCCCCTTTGCCAGAGTAATAAATACACAGAATGCAACGGATATTCATAGACGATTGAAACAATGGGGTAAAGGAAGCCATTGCAAAAGAAAACTGGTAAAAAAAACAAGTAGGAAGACACAAAAGAAAACGAGTGAGTGGAACACCAGAAATAAACAACCTCCGATTACGAGTTTCTTTCCAAAACTGAACAAGCATTTAGAAAGAAGATTACATGATAAACACCATCGTGAAGACCAGATACACGTGGACTTTCACACCCCACGAAGGTTAGCTCCGATATTCCAAGAGAGGACAAATTTACGGAATTCTACTCCAGCACACAAGCTACGGAGAAGAGCAGGAAAAGAGAACCAAGGAACACAACTCAGGAGCTGTGTGTCCTGCAAGAGAACTCTGAAAATGTCTTCTGGAGGAAGCGAAAGAGCTGGCAACTCAAAAAGAAGAAGAAGAGAAATGTAGAGGGAAGACATTGTAAGACAATCCACAAAAAACACTGAGTAAATGGTATCCGATTTGTGTACACAATGTACTGGTGATCAGTGACACTCTAATTCTTCCCATCTACAAACTGCATACCCCTCAACATCAGTAACCCACTCTATGGGGAGGAAGGGTCCAGGTCATTAATATAAACCGTGTCACTTGCACTGCCAACAGGGGGGTGGGCAAAGAGGGCAGGTCTACCTGAATTCTGGACAGCCTGGTGTGAATGGCAATCAATCAAGCAGGACAGTCCCATAGGAGAGTACCATGCAGCGAGCATTGTTATGGTGCTCTCTATACGCTGTCTACATGGTCTTAGTGCCCTTAGCATAGCACGTCTAATGATGTGCTCACTGTACGCTTTCTCTGGACAGTTGGATTGCCAAGTGTGCATTCATGATTCTTCTTAAAAACAAATCCAATTAATTTCCATCCACAAACTTCGTGTCTGCCTCTGAGAGGAACTAAACCGCAATGTGGGACAAACAATTGTAAAAGAATTGTAAAGTTTTAAAATTGTAAATATTATAATCAGTGCCGCTTATTGTATTATCCATGCTTATTGCTGTGGTTATGGTGCTGGGAGGTGATGGGTGATGGGTGATTATTCCTTTACTGTCAAATAAAATCTCTTTTATATAGAACTACTCTCATCATGCACAGTGACCAAATTAAGCTGCACTACCGTTAGCAGCCAGAGTGCTGCCAGCAGGAGTAATATCAATAAGGAATCAGGACAGAATTATCGTTACAGGTTACATATCAGGAAATTATCGTTTGTTTTTTGCGAAACCTGTAAGCTCTATTTAATGAACTATATTAGGTGTGCTGTGCCTTTAAATGTAGACATGGCTTTTAAACTGTAGAAAATTGCAAAAAAAAATTAGTAAAACACTTTTGTCAGTGAAGTGTTTTGTGCAAATGTGATCACCTCAATTCTTTGTGTCTAAAAACTCACACAAACAATGGTCTCCATAATATTGCACATGAAAAAAGAAAATAAACACACATAGTGTAAAACAATTAATATGCAATTATAATAAGAAAATGACTATTTCAGTGCACTCACAAGTACAGAGCAGGTAAAGACGGTTCAAACTGTAATGGCTCCAATCAGGGGCGTACCTAGAGCATTTGGCACCCGGGGCGGGTCCTCGTTTTGGCACCCACCGCACCCCACACACACTTTAAAATGTAAAAAATACCCACTATTTTTTTTTTATGTATGTAGCATTGAGCAGTGTTTGCGTGTTTCAATGTAAGCATGTTTTTTGTAAGTGTGAGTGAATGTAGGGGTGTGTTTGTATGTAGTGTTGGCATTTTAATGCAGGCATGCATTTGTGTGTAGTGTTGGCGAGATGCAGTGGTGTGGTTATATATAATGGTGATGTTTTAATACAGAGGTGTGTTTGTATTTAGTGTTTACACTGGAATGCAGTGATGTGTTTGTGTGTAGTGTTGGCAAGATGCTGAGATGTATACACACATATACACACACTGACATCCATGCAGATACAGACACACAGTCACAAACAGATACAGAGACACACATATACACACACATGCAACTACATGGACACACATACATTAGGTCCCCCCCATTGTTATTTAGGGCCCCCAACCACCGCTCAGGGGTGGGGGCCGGGGGGGAGGACATTAGGTCCCCCCCCATTTTTTATTTATGGCCCCCACCCACCGCTCAGGGGTGGGGACCGTGGGGGAGGACATTAGGTCCCCCCCGCCAATTTTTATTTATGGCCCCCACACACCGCTCAGGGGTGGGGGCCGGGGGGAGGACATTAGGTCGCCCCCCATTTTTTATTTATGGCCCCCACCCACCGCTCAGGGGTGGGGGCCAGGGAGGGAGGACATTAGGTTCCCCCCCAATTTTTATTTATGGCCCCCAACCACCGCTCAGGGGTGGGGGCCAGTGGGGGGAGGACAGTAGGTCCCCCCCCCTTATTGTTATTTAGGGACCACACCCGCCGCACGGACCCTAAATAACAATAAGGGAGGGGGTGAAGACATTAGGTCCCCCCCATTTTTTATTTATGCTCCCCACCCACCGCTCAGGGGTGGGGGCCAGGGGGAGAGGACATTAGGTCCCCCCATTGTTATTTAGGGCCCCCACCCACCACTCAGGGGTAGGGGCCGGGGGGGAGGACATTAGGTCCCCCCATTGTTATTTAGGGCCCCCACCCACTGCTCAGGGGTGGGGGCCGTGGGGGAGGACATTAGGTCCCCCCGCCAATTTTTAATTATGGCCCCCACCCACCGCTCAGGGGTAGTGGCCGGGGGGTAGGACATTAGGTCCCCCCCCCAATTTTTATTTATGGCCCCCATCCACCGCTCAGGAGTGGAGGCCGGGGGGGGGGAGGACAGAAGGTCCCCCCCCCCATTTTTTATTTATGGCCCCCATCCACCGCTCAGGAGTGGGGGCCGAGGGGGGGACATTAGGTCCTCCCATTGTTATTTAGGGCCCCCACCCACCGCTCAGGGGTGGGGGCAGGGGGGAGGACATTAGGTCCCCCCCATTGTTATTTAGGGCCCCCACCCACCGCTCAAGGGTTGGGGGCCGTGGGGGAGGACATTAGGTCCCCCCGCCAATTTTTATTTATGGCCCCCACCCACCGCTCAGAGGTGGGGGCCGGGGGGGGGAGACATTAGGTCGCCCCCCATTTTTTATTAATGGCCCCCACCCACCGCTCAGGGGTGGGGGCCAGGGGGGGAGGACATTAGGTTCCCCCCCCCCCCAATTTTTATTTATCGACCCCCACTCACCGCTCAGGGGTGGGGGCCATTTGGTCGCCCCCCATTTTTTATTTATGGCCCCCACCCACCGCTCAGGGGTGGGGGCCGGGGGGGAGGACATTAGGTCCCCCCCCCCCAATTTTTATTTATGGCCCCCATCCACCGCTCAGTGGTGGGGGCCAGGGGGGGAGGACAGTAGGTCCCCCCCCCTTATTGTTATTTAGGGCTCACACCTGCCGCACGGGCCCTAAATAACAATAAGGGGTGGGGGCCAGGGGGGGAGGACATTAGGTCGCCCCCCATTTTTTATTTATGGCCCCCATCCACCGCTCAGGAGTGGGGGCCAAGGGGGGAGGACATTAGGTCCCCCCCATTGTTATTTAGGGCCCCCACCCACCGCTCAGGGGTGGGGGCCGGGGGGGGGATAGTAGGTCACCCCCTCCAACAATAGGTTTTTTTTTGTTTTTTTTACAGTGAGCAGCCACTGGCTGCTCACTGTTTACTAGACACACCCCTACTCGCGGTATAGCGAGTAGGGGCTGAATTTACTAATACTAAGTAATCTTTACTTAGTATTAGTAAATGTGGCTGAAAGACCAATTTAGGTGACCAATTTAGGTCTTTCAGCCTTTTGGTAGATAGCTCCCTAATACCTTGTGAATTAGGGAGTTATCTACTAAGCGGTTGCTTATTTTATGTTATTTTTAAGTGATTTCCCTATCCACATTTGTTTGCAGGGCACTTGTCCTACTCTTACCCCCATTTTACTTCCTTTTGCAGCTCTCTTGCCATTTCCAGGAGTTTTTTAGAGTCAATTTTGTGGCCAAAAGTTCGGGTCCCTATTGACTTCAATGGGGTTCGGGGTCAAATTTGGGGTCAAGTTCGAGCCCAAACCCGAACTTTTTTTCAAAGTTCGGCCGCACCCGTCGGACCCGAACATCCAGGTGTCTGCTCAACTCTACTTATCAATAAACTGCAATCTTTAAGTTTGGATTCCACTATTGTTGAATGGGTAAGGCAGTGGCTGAGTGACAGGCTACAGAGGGGTGTAGTCAATGGAGTATATTCGAAGCATGGTCTTGTCACCAGTGGGGTACCTCAGGAATCTGTACTTGGACCCATTCTCCTTAATATTTTTATTAGTGATATTGCAGAAGGTCTTGATGGTAAGGTATGTCTTTTTGCTGATGATACTAAGATATGTAACAGGGTTGATGTTCCAGGAGGGATAAGCCAAGTGGCAAATGATTTAGGTAAACTAGAAAAATGGTCAGAGTTGTGGCAACTAACAGGACCGGTGTATAGTCGCCATATGGGCAGTCGGACTCCAGGACAACCCACCCACATACCTAACCCAATAACGCACTGACACTCGGGTAAATGGGAAAATTTGTCCACAGCTTTATTAAACAATCTTGAATAATAATAACAATATATTAATTATAAATTAATAATAATACTAATCATAATAATAACTTAACATATAAACATGGGTCATTGCCCCCCATACTCCGCCCTCGCATCCAAATCATTTTGTTAATATAAAAGGCCATGACCCCCATATAAATAACACATATATATATATATATATATATATATATAACATATACCAACATTATTCCAACATACCAACTTAAAGTGCCAAACATAAATTAACCATGGCAGGGGTATACCCAGATACCCCTACCCCACCAGGTTCTGAGCCACCGACAGGACTCAAAACCTACCAACCACCAATGACCACAGTTTTCCGTTTCTGTCACCTTCTTCCTAGGGAGCCTATTCCTTCTCCTTCAGCTCCCTATCCCACCGCTGTGAAAAAACGGATAACCCCCCACCAGAAACAAAATACAGGGAGGGTGGGCGGGACAAACTCAGTCAGGTAGGAAATTAGAAGATAATTCACTCAAAATGGCTGCCTATTTAAATATCCCAGCCCACTTACCCATGACTCCATACTTCCTTTCCGCCTCCTATGCCCGCCTCCTAACTGCTGTCAAGGCCCTTTTCCGCTTAGCTGCGCTTTGGCTACATGGGGCTACATGACCGGTGTATAGTCGCCATAGAAACATAGAAACATAGAAACATAGGGAGCCTATTCCTTCTCCTTCAGCTCCCTATCCCGCCACAAGCTCAGACCTTGACCCCTTAAGCTGTCTGAGCTCCGCTACCCCGAAGAAATAGTGCTTTGAGTATTCCGTCCTGCCAACCCAGGTTCAGCAGGT